TCCAAAGTAATCAAGAAAGTTTTTAAACAAGTTTAAAGGGTGTTTAAGTTTGTTTAGTATTTGTTTCAAGAGTTTGTTTGTGAAAAAAATTTCACAAGAGCTAGAAGAGATCATCATTTGGTGTTTGAGCTTCAAATCATCTCTCTCTCACTTTTGTCATTTATTGGAGAAGTTTTCTAAACTCAATCTAGCTTTACATCTTATATTGTTTGATTATCATTTTATTAAGCTAGTGTTTATATTGAGTTTAGTTGATTTTATTTAACTCTTTGTTCACACACAACCATTGAGCTTATTGTATTTACATTCATAGTATAATTTGAGGTTGTGAGCTTGTGACATTGAGAGTGAGCTTACATTGTGTTCTCATCCATTGTAGAGAACAATTTATTTGTATTGAGAGCTATTATTGTGTGGTGTAAACGTTATTCGGATAAGCATAGAAAACTCGATTGTGATAGTGGAGATCTCCTCGAGGTAAGGAGCGAAGACGTAGGTCATGGGGACCGAACTCCGTGATTATATCGTTTGTTTGTGATTGCATTGGCACACTTATTTTGGTGTTCATAAATTATATCGCCTTTGTCTATTACTTATTGTTCATATTCTCACTATCTTGTTTGTGTTCATATTGCCCTTGGTTTATTATCCTTACATAAATATTGTTCATATCTTATTTGCTAGGATAATTTTTTAATAAGTTTTAAATTAGCATAAATCGGATTAGATTAGCATAAACCTTATTCACCCCCCTCTAGTGGCACTAGGGTACTTTTAAGTTATCCTCTAGCTTCACTAAGAAGTAACGTCTTTCGAGTCGACCTCGTGAGGCGTCGAGTAGTTGGTCGAGTGGGCTCATTGTGAGTCGTCTTCGACAAAAGGGGCGACAAGTACCGCCTTTCGATTTGGCATGAGGGAATGTCAACTCGGTGAGTCGGCTGAGTTGTCGCCCTTGCTGGTCTTCGGCCGCTAACTTGATTGGGGCACTGCATGCAGACGTACACCTATCCGTTGCTAGCAAAGGGTCGCACTTAGGTGATTAAAAACACCATAACAATAACAAATCAAATAATTAGAAACAAGATGATATATATATATATATATATAAGACTCCTATCAACTTAAGTTGATGTCCACCAAACTTCTTAGCCACTTATTTATTAATATAAAAAACCTTTTCATATCATGCAAGGATCGCTAGGCAATATGAGTGGCTAAAAAATTTGGTGGATAACTTTTTACTATCCACTTAAGTTGATACAAGTTTTTTCTCTCTCTCTCTCTCGTCTCATCTCTTCTCTATATATATATATATATATATATATATATATATATATATAATATATAAATATATATATATATATTATATTATATATATATATATAGAGAAGAGAGAGAGACGAGAGAGAAATTTTATGTTTTGTAGTGAGGTTGTCCAATTTTCTCATCCATTCTATTTTCAATTCGCGCACAACTCCTCAACTCTTTAATGTTGGCCCCGATTTTAATGATGGAAGGGAATAGTCACATCACTACCAGCACCAAAAATTATGGGCTTGGTACCAAGCATACCTATTTTTCTGCATATAATATATATATATATAATATATATATATATATATATATATATATATATATTAATATATATATATATATATATATATATATATATATAGAGGCAAAACTTGTGTCAATATATATAATATATATATATATATATAATATATATATATATATATATTATTATAATATATTATATAATAATATAATATATATACTATATATATATTGAACAAGTTTTGCTCTATATATATATATATATATTATATATATATATATATATCTATATTATATATATATATATATAATAATAATATATAATTCAGAAACATTATGTAAGATGACTAGTTTTTGTCTTTGCAGCATGACTAACAAACATGTACATCAAATTCATTGCAAAATTTGTTTCTAGACAATCTAAATCATTTTACATTTGTACATCTATTATTGGTGCACGTTTATAATTCGGGTATTTTAATATCCAAGTCTTACGTTTGAACCGATAGTATACATTAATCAAATTTGATCATAAAGCAACCAGATGTCTAACTTTATGCATTTCTTTTCGAAGTGTGCAAGTCAAACACTGTATACAATGCACATGCTTCGTTTCATGCACCTACAGCTGCACGCTAGCCAAGTACAGCTTCATCAAAACAGAATGCCAAAAACAAAGAGTAAGAATATAGAGGTCTCTTCATATTAAGTTGTTTCTTTCTCAAGGCTCTACAACTCCATAAGACACAAAGAACACTGCCACAAAGAACACTCTGCAAACACAAGAGGCTAACTACTGCAGTGGCAGCATCCAAATATAGATGCACCGCCATCACACTAAGTTTAGCCAACCGTAAGATCATAACATCACCCTAATTAGGTCAAAAACCCTAAAAACAGACAAAATAAAGCTATATGCTAGCACACTAGCTAAGCAATACACCAAGAGATATTGTCCATAACATCATAGCACCCCCCTGTCCATCACTCAACCTCTTTAAATTCATCCCTCATCTTCTCTTCACCCTCAGCTCTCAAACCCTCTAAAAAAAACTCTCAAACCCTTTAGCCTTCACATTTCCAGGATGTTCACAAGTAAATCCTCAACCAGAGAAAACCCTAACCCTACCCCTCACCTTCCAATGACTTCGACGACATTTCTCAACCCTTTAAGCTTCCTTCCATCCCCACCAGTCCCAAACCCTAATGAGAGGAGAGGAAGAAGGAGATCAACCGAGCCTGGCCGCTTCCTTGGAGTTCGAAGGAGGCCATGGGGTAGATATGCAGCTGAGATAAGAGACCCTACTACTAAAGGAAGGCACTGGCTTGGCACTTTTGACACCGCACAAGAAGCTGCCATAGCTTATGACAGAGCTGCAATCTCAATGAAAGGAGCCCAAGCCAGAACCAACTTCATTTATGTTCCCCTTAACGTCAGCCAAACCCTAGCTACCCAAAATGCACCTGTATTACAGCATGTATCAACCGACACAACGCATGTTGCGTGCAGTGAGCCTGAGCCAGTTATTGATGTGGCGAACGAGTTTCGGTTTGATGAAGATAGAGGGTCTGGTGATTTGAGTAGTATTGTTCCTGAGAGCTTGTTGAGATCAAGTTCAAAGGATGATGCTAGTGATCATCATAATGCAGCGGTTGGCTCTTCTTCAGGTAATTTTGAGGAGAATGTTTGGGGAGGGCATGTTTGTAATTATTATTGGCCGCAGGAAGACCTTTGGGGGGAGGATCATCTTAGAGCGCTCCGCGAGCTGATGGTTGGTGGGCCTGTTTCTGAGTCGCCGTCGCAGGTCTCCCAGTGTCGTGGGATGGATGGTGGTGATATGTTTGGCTTGGACTACTACTCAATGCCATAAGTACTGATGATGAGAGAAGACGAACTAGGGTTAGGGTTTCTCAATTTCCTTTTTGTTGCACAAGTATTGTGCTAATGTTGGCATGTTTATGCTCTTAATCTCACTTCTTTGCTAGGGTTTGTTGTTTCTATTAGTAAAGAAGGATTAATGACTGTGGGAGGCCGGTAAGTATTTATGTTATTTAACACGAATATTAAGTACTTATAGTTTGTTGTTGTATTCATATTTTGTACTGTTCGGTAATGATTCATGAAAGAAGCCTATTTAAGAAAAGGGTTAAACTGGAGTGATCTGTTTGGGTAGAGGAGTAAGTTGACTCGTTAACTGATCGGAAATATACTAATTCTTGAGTTCCAGATGGTCAAGAATGTTATAACCATTCATCAAACGAGTAGAAACGCGGTCTCGACATTTTATCAGCTGTCAGTGTGCGGGAGGCGGCTTGAGGCTCGAGGTAGTCATCACCTTTCTACTCGTTTGGTAGAAGGTTGAAAAGTATCGCCTTTCGAGTCTCCTTCGCGAGATGTCAGTCGAATGGTCGGTCGAGTAGGTTGATCAAGAAGTCGACGTAGTCAGGGGTCGACATGTAACGCCTTTCGAGTCTCCCTCGCGAGATGTTGGCGTGTCGAGTGGTCCGAGCTGGGTTTTTGGTTATCTTGAAGTGAAGAGCTAGCTTGATTACGCATAATATGAGACACTTGTCTGCTATTAATTGGATATAACTTTTTAGCACTAAAACGGCTATAATATTTTACATTTTTAATAGAAAAGTTTTTTCTTGGGACTAAGAAGTAATTTTATTTTATTATGTTTTTTTTTGTGTTTGTGCTTGTCCAGTCAAATGTTAGAGTTGAAGGTTACATACGAGGATTAAAAGATAAATTTTAAGATAAAATATAAAGAAATAAATCAGTTCAGGAGGGTTATGTGTAATAACTCCTAAAGTTTATGTGGTGTTAGTGGGGAGAAAAAAATTGAGAGGACTTACTGCAACTCCACAAAAGTTGAGAGAAACTTTTGATTGTTAATTCAAAAGTTTTAAATTTTAAAGATCATGAAGGCGTCTTTCGAAACAGTACTAGGAAAGGAATAGTGTGCTTTTCCTGTAGCTACAGTGTTTATCCTAGGACTGTCTGCGCATACTTAAGACGTGTCCACAACGCAAGCGATACAAGGTCTAAGTCACTGTTGAGAACGGAGAAGAGACCAATTCAACGCAGACAACGAACACAACGTTACCCAAACTGTGGGTAAAGGACTAATCATTTGGTTGTGTTGAGTCAAGTCAGGTCACGTCGTAAGGCGATCGCTATTAGATCTCTCTGGACCTGGTTTCCTTTCTTGGCTACAAATAATTTTTTGGGGTTTTTATTTCTAGCCCCATTTGTTTACTCATCTTTACCTATAAACCCAACTACTATTGTTTGTATTCTTAAATCCAATTGTCTTTTTGTTTTTGCCTTTAAACCCAATTTCTAAAATACAGTAGATACATCACTTGTATTTATACACAAAAATGATAAAACCCCAAAATACCCTTTCAATACCCCACTTAAACCAGTCCCTCTCTCTCCCCTCTTCTTCCCCCTTTTCAACTCTACGACCTAGAAATCAAATTTCCATCGACGCCTCCCTTCCCTCGCCGTTTGGTCTCCATCGCCGTCTCCGTCGACACTCATCACCTCTCGTCGACACCTCCTTCCCCCCTCTCTCCCTTTCTTCCCGTCGCCATCTGGTGTCCATCAGTTCCTGCTACTGCTTCTCTATTCCCTACAAACCAAAACCCTTCGCTCCATCGCCCCCACTTCTCTCCATCGGCAGCAACGACGGCTTCCCTCTCCGTTCTCGCGCCTTCAAAACCCTAGCTTTCTCCTCCAGTCTCTCGACCCCTTCATTCCCAACGGGTGATGCTTTGATTCTCATCAAGATTCGACCTTTTTCGGTTGATTTGATTGGTTTTGGTTCGATTCTGAAGGGATTGAATCATTCAAGTCGTCGACTGCGCCGAGCGCCCGTAGGTTCGTCGTATGTGAGGTTGCACCGGCGAAGAAGGCGGATTCGGCAACGAAGAGAGCTCGGCAAGCGGAGAAGAGGAGGATTTATAACAAGGCGAGGAAATCCGAGATCAATACTCGAATGGAGAAGGTATGAAGCCCTCAATTTTGTCGGAATCGGGCATTTTAATGGTGATTTATGTGGATATTGCACGTGTTGTTAAAAGGCAATTTATGAAATTACTGAGGTTTTATTACATTTAAGCGAACTAGTGACCGAAATGCTGGCTTTTATTGGACATTATATCTGTCGAGGTTAAGAATAATCAGATATATTATACAAGTACTTATCGACATACCTGATATTGTCCTCAGCGAGGACTACTACACATTCCCGTCCTTCAGTTTTGTCTGGGAACTAACTGAGAAGATGAAATAACATTTCAGAGTGGTAAGAAGGATGCTAACGGCCTGTTCGGCAAACTCCCAAAATGAAAAGCCAGTTGCTGAAGGTATATTTTTCATAAGTGTAATGTTCATTGAACTTGTATATTCAGTGTATTGTTTTTTTGATCCGCTTATATTTTGATTTCAGGATATCAACGTGATCCTCAAGCTATATTCCCCGGATGCTAGATGCAAATTTTGTGTGTGTAAAAATATATGTTTGGAAATTGATTTGTAAAATATTATTCTCAGTTTGTTACACTAAAAGTATTGTTCTCAGTTTGTTACACTGAAAGTAGATAATGAAAGTTATTCTCAGTTTGTGTTATGTGCTGGTTGATGGTTCTCAGTTTGTTACACTGAAAGTAGATAATGAAAGTTATTCTCAGTTTGTGTTATGTGCTGGTTGATGATTGTTGCTATTATGAATGTTATGTTCTCCATAAGTATAATGTTCATTGAACCGCTTATATTCAGTCATTTGTAAAGCGATTTTTTGTGTACATATATATGTTTGGAAAGTGATTTGTAAAGTCATTTGTATGAAACCTATGGGACTGTTGTTGGGATTGGTTATGTAAAGTCATTTGTAAAATTATTTGTAAAGTCATTTTGTGCAATCAGCCACTGTGGTTAAATTACTAGTTATGTAAAGTTTTGTATGTTTTAAGTCATTGAAATTGATGGTTTATTGCACGTAAAGTTCTATGGTTCAGCGCACCAGCTACATAAAGTTTTTCCTCAAACAGAACACAATATTCTCTTACAGAGACCAGCGCGGTACACATAATCATAACACAACAAAAGGAAGAAAAGAACATTCACACATAACCCGCTACACTTACAGGATAACCCGCTACACTTATAGGATAACTCGCTACACTTACAGTGTAACCCGCTACACTTGCAGGATAACCCGCTACACTTACAATGTAACCCGCTACACTTACAGTGTAACCCGCTATACTTACAGTGTAACCCGTTACACTTACAGGATAACCCGCTACACTTACAGTGTAACCCGCTACACTTACAGGATAACCCGCTACACTTACAGTGTAACCCGCTATACTTATAGGATAACCCGCTACACTTACAGTGTAACCCGCTACACTTACAGTGTAACCCGCTACACTTATAGGATAACCCGCTACACTTACAGGATAACCCGCTACACTTACAGGTTAACCCGCTACACTTACAGGATAACCCGCTATACTTACAGTGTAACCCGCTACACTTACAGGATAACCCGCTACACTTATAGGATAACCCGCTATACTTACAGGATAACCCACTACACTTGCGGTGTAACCCGCTACACTTACAGAATAACCCGCTACACTTACAGTTTAACCCGCTATACTTATAGGATAACCCGCTACACTTACAGTGTAACCCGCTATATTTGCAGGATAACCCGCTACACTTACAATGTAACTCGCTAAACTTACAGTGTAACCCGCTACACTTACACTTTAACCCGCTACACTTACACTTTAACCCGCTATACTTACAGGATAACCCGCTACACTTACAGTGTAACCCGCTACACTTACAGGGTAACATGCTACACTTGTAGTGTAACCCGTTATACTTACAGGATAACCCGCTATACTTACAGTGTAACCCGCTACACTTGCAGTGTAACCCGCTACACTTACAGGATAACCAGCTACACTTACAGGATAACCCGCTGTACTTACAGGTTAACCCGCTACACTTACAGGATAACCCGCTACACTTACAATGTAACCCGCTACACTTACAGGATAACCCGCTACACTTACAGGATAACCCACTACACTTACAGGATAACCCGCTACACTTGCGGTGTAACCCTCTACACTTACAGAATAACCCGCTACACTTACAGTTTAACCCGCTACACTTGCAGTGTAACCCGCTACACTTACATGATAACCCGCTATACTTACAATGTAACCCGCTACACTTACAGTGTAACCCGCTACACTTATAGGATAACCCGCTACACTTACAGTTTAACCCGTTATACTTAAAGGATAACCCGCTACACTTACAGTGTAACCCGCTACACTTACAGGATAACCCGCTACATTTGTAGTGTAACCCGCTATACTTACAGGATAACCCGCTATACTTACAGTGTAACCCGCTACACTTGCAGTGTAACTCACTACACTTACAGCTTAACCCGCTACACGTACAGGATAACCCGCTACACTTACAGTGTAACTCGCTACACTTAAAGTGTAACCCGCTATACTTACAGGATAACCCGCTACACTTGCAGTGTAACCCTGTAAGTACAGCGGGTTATCCTGTAAGTGTAGCGGGTTATCCTATAAGTGTAGCGTGTTACACTGCAAGTGTAGCGGATTATCCTGTAAGTATAACGGATTACACTATAAGTGTAGCGGGTTACACTGTAAGTGTAGCAGATTATCCTGTAAGTGTAGCGGGTTAAACTGTAAGTGTAGCGGGTTACATTGTAAGTGTAGCGGGTTACACTGTAAGTGTAGCGGGTAAGTGTAACGGGTTATCCTGCAAGTGTAGCGGGTTGCACTGTAAGTGTAACGGGTTACACTGCAAGTGTAGTGGGTTACACTGTAAGTGTAGCGGGTTACATTGTAAGTGTAATTGGTTATCCTGCAAGTGTAGAGGGTTACACTGCAAGTGTAGCGGGTTAACTGTAAGTGTAGCGGGTTACGCTGTAAGTGTAGCGGGTTACACTGCAAGTGTAGCGGGTTATTTGTAAGTGTAGCAGGTTACATTGTAAATATAGCGGGTTATCCACTTACCGTGTAACACGCTACACTTGCAGTGTAACCCGCTACACTTATAGTTAACCCGCTACACTTGCAGGATAACCCGCTACACTTGCAATGTAACCCGCTACACTTATAGAATAATGTGTTATACTTACAGGATAATATGCTGTACTTACAAGATATGCATGAGTTAAGCTACGTTCAGTACACTACACTTTTCAATTCACTGCCAGCTGCTTGATTACCTCAAAATCAACTTACAAACTTTTGAGTTGTCAGCTTACGAGACACTATTGAGAACATAAATTTTATTATTGAGAACTAGCACATAATAGCAACCCTCATCAACTAGCACAATATTTCAACCCTCATCAACCAGCACATAATAGCACCAAGCACATATCACAAGCACATAACACTATTGAGACTAACTTTCATTATCTACTTTCAGTCTAACAAACTGAGAACAATATTTTACAAATCAAACTCCAAACATATATTTATACACACAAAATAGCACTCAAAAGACTTTCAGATTATCTACTTCCATGGCACTTACAAACTCGAAATATATATTTATACACCACAAAAAATTTGCATATCATAGTTGGCATCTAGCATCCGGGGAACTTAGCTTGAGGATCGTGTTTATATCCTGAAATCAAAAGATAAGCGGATCAAAAGAATAGTAGACTGAATATACAAGTTAGCATTTCTAAGAAACCACATACAAATGAACATTACACTTACGGAAAATATACATTCAGATAGAAATAGAGCAACGATATGAGCTCTATGTCTTACACGTCTGAACTTGAGGAGATAAAAGATATACTAGCATTTGTCGAACATGCAAAGATGATAAAGAGCTAGTTCTAGAGATCAATGATATTCCTAGCATTTGTTTAAATTATTTTTAAAATATAGTCCTGCTTTTGGATGAGAGCTTGGAGTTCTAATTCAGTTCAACATTTGCCTATCAATTTCTATTGACATAATGCAAAATTTGCACCAAAGTTTTTGAGCCGCATATAATGCATCTTTCATTACGCTGTTCCTGCTCATCTACATAAAGTGTTTTACCTCATCCCCATACCTGGATCAAATTTAACCAGCACTCATTGGGTGCATTATTTGTCCAGTTCGCCGAAATATTAGCAAGATCATGTCTTCCACTAGTGTTAAATCCCTTAAATTTATACCAATGTGGTTAACTCCTTGTCAGTTCAATTTCACACAGAATTCATACACTAACAACAACTGCTGTTTATTTCATTCAGACATACACATATAATAACCAACTCAAGTTCCATTCTTTCACAACCAAAATGGAGTAATATAATTCCAATACTCAAAATAAGTTAACTTCCTCTTAAAATGCAGCTAAAAAGTTACCTAAGTGGACCATCGAGCCCATCACCACCGTTGGTTTGCCGGACATCGTGATCCTGCTCTTGATCGTACTCCATTTGCCGATCTCCGCCATTCATCGGACCCATGTGAGCTCCGTTTACAACCGTCTTTCGATCTCCAATGATCTTGATGTTTGAGAGAGGAGGTGGTGGGAGGGAGTGGGAGAAAGAGAGAAAGAAATTGGGTTAGGGTTTAGGCTGACTGCGGGGACTTAATTAAGGGTGGGCCTTACCCAAGATGAGGCCCAAGGCGACTACGAGGGCGACAGCGACCGCAAGGGCGAGCTCACGGCGATGGCGACGAGCGACGGCGATGGACACAACGTTGGTCACTGCGAGGACGAGCTCACGGCGACTGCGAGGGCGAGCTCACGGCGACGATGACGGACGACTGCGAGGGCGAGCTCACGGCGACGGCGAGGGCAAGCTCACGGTGACGGACACGAGAAGGGGTAAATTGGGTTCAGAGGTGAAAAGGGGGAAGATGAGGAGAGAGAGAGAGGTACTGATTTATATGGGGGTATTGACAAGGGTATTTTGGGGTTTTTAAGATGTTTGTGTATAAATACAAGTGCTTTAACTGTTGTATTTTAGAAATTGGGTTTTAAGACAAATACAAAAAGATAATTGGGTTAAAAGATACAAGAAATAATGGTTGGGCTTATAGGTAAAGATGAGTAAACAAATGGGGCTAGAAATAAAAACCCCTAATTTTTTTCTATGGACGGAAGGGAGCTGATGCTGCTGTGGATCAGATGGCAATTAAAGTTGATGTTATAGCAAGGGTGGTAGCCGATCGACATTCTTCTCGTCTCAAATTCTGGATTCGAAATTTGAAATGTTGTGTGAGTGAGATTTTATTGCCTGGATGCCCGGGTCTTTATTGTATGTACATATATAACTTTCTTCAACTGGTTAATGAAAGAGTTAATTAAAAGAAAAAGAAAAATGCTATGAAGGATAACGGGTTATTATAAATATGTGCAAGATAGATGAATCAAATTGGGTTTGTTATTATATTAGGGACAATTTCCATTTGATATCCTACTTATCTATTATTTCTGAAATTTGTAAGATAATAAATTGTTAAGAGTATAAAATTATAACCATCATATCTCATCGCAACTCAAAGTTTTAGTATATATATATAGTAGAATGCCCTTTAAGATGATATGAGAGCAATCAAATTCAGATCAAAGTTTTTATCGATATATATAGGCGGAGAAAAATGTAATGTTGCATAAATCATTTTTGTTCCTAAAAGAGATGCTCAACACCGATAAGATTATAGGTTTTTCGATCTTAATTTGTCCCTTAAAACTTTCATATTTTGAGGTTAGCCCTTGAAATCATTGAAATTGCTAATAAGTTCATCAATTTTATAAGTTATTTCCAAATTAGATCCTTGAATCAAGAGTAAAAGTATCGATTGCAATGATTAATTTGAAACAACTTGTGAGGATTGCCTGATATTTCATGACAAATAGAATTTACTTTATAAACCCTACAATTTCTACCTTGTCTAGAAGGAAAATTTTAATAATAACTCAAGAACGGGCGGACCTAAAAAAAATTTAAGTGCTTTGCGGGACTAATTCAAAGTAACTTAAGAATTGAGAGACCTAACAACATTTTAATGACTTGAGGGTCTAAGTTAAAACGTAAAAGACTAAAGGGACTAATAGCAAAAAATCTATAATTGCAAACCATTAATTTCAATATAGCTCCTGACTTTAGATACTTTTTTTAAAGAATATTTATATTGATTTTTTTATTATCGTCCGTTATGGTGTTTACTCACCCAAGATACGGGTATTTACAAAATGATACAATCATAGCCCTGGAAAACCGGCCTCAACCAACTTAGTGGCCAAAGCCTAATAGAGGCCTTGACCCCGCCGACTCATCAAGTCGATATTCTTCCAGGCCGATACAAAAGGCGGGGTCAGCCAACCATATTGTTGAAGACAACCCACCAAGGGCACTCGACCACTTACTTGGCAACTCACGAAGACGACTTGATGGATATTCTCTAATGTCGACTAAGTTGAGGAATAACCTCCGCCTCAAGTCTCTCCCCCAGAGTATATGTCAGCATCCCAGTTCACCTCGGACAAGCCTTATCTTGATTCTAGCCTGATGGTCTCCATGACTTGTCAGCTTCCCACGTGCCTTCTGCCACGACCTCAATCACTTCCCGAAAAATGTGGAGACACTCTCTCTCGTGCCAAAGTAACTTCCCCTCCAATCGCTAGCCGACATCTGTAAACACTACAACAAAATACAACATTGCCGACGAAACAAAAACGTCGGCAAATGTTTAAAAAACGTTGGGAAAAATATTTCCCGACGCAAAATACAGCGTCGCTAACGCGTCGCCAAAAGTACGTCAAGGAAAGTATTTGGCGACGCAAATACACTGCGTCGCCAAAAGTATACTTTTGGCAACGCGACATGCGTCGGGAAAAGTACATCTTTTAGCGACGCATATTATTTTGCGTCGGCAAAAGCATGCTTTAGCGACGCTCTATTCTGCGTCGCTAAAAGCTACACTTTTGCCGACGCAAATCATGCGTCGCCAAAGATAAGCTTTTTAACGACGCTCCTTTCCGCGTCGCTAAAAGTGTATTTTTGCCGAGGCAAGATTGCGTCGCTAAAAGATATTACTTTTGGTGACAAAATATGTCGTCGGCAAAAGTGTTACATTTAGCGACTAAATATAGCATCGGCAAAAATGTTACTTTTACTGACGCTTATCGACACTAATTTGCATCGTCAAAAATAATATATTTTTTTGTCAAATACAAGCTTACACTGAATCTGAACATCAACAAAAAATTTGATCCCATTCACATCAACATAAAAGCGTTAATAGAAACAACAATATCAAAATTTTCCATTTCCCCTTGAGCGCTAAGAGCGTTAATTTACAAACTTCCTCTTGCATACCCAAGTACATGAAGTCTCTCAAAAACAGATTACATCAAGAAAACTAGAAACAACAATATCAAATTTGTATCATTAATTATAAAGAACAAATGGATTTGAGGAAGAACATGACCCAGTTTAGATAGTGCATCTGCAACAGTGTTTGCCTCTCGCATACAGTGTAGGACGGGAACTTATCTGAGGTGAAATTTATCATCTTTTATATTTCACGCTTTCCTCATGAAAGGACTTCTCTATAGCTTCTCATAATCTCCTCCCACTGGATCCTTGTGAATGTGGTTAATTGACCTCCAAGAGCGATGCAGAGACTCGTGTAAAAAAATCGACAAGATATCATAGAACCATTTCTGTCACTACTTCCCTCAAGAATCCTCAAACATGTATCCAAAAAATCCGTCTTTCATAGAAGACAATGGGGGGATAAAAAGAAGAAGAAGAAGAAGGGAAAAGAGGCATAAACACAAACCTAACACAGAATAAAGTGATTTGATCTTCGCCAAGATCACAACACAAATTGCTACATTCCAATTAAAGCAATTGACGAATAACCAAAAGTTTAACTTGGAAAAAGTAAATGAAGACCTGATAATTGATCCATCATCCTCTTCAGCTGCTCCATTTGCGAACAAGAGTTTCAAACTCACCATACGATGCTCTCAGCAGCCTCACTACATAGAAAAAAGTAAAGCATGAACAATATACATGTTAAGAGACTCAAATGTATATTGAATTAGCTTTAAAATGATGACATTCCACTTTAGATCTTGTACTTTGATGTCTGAGAATCCTTTGGCTTGGAGTGCATACTGAAATCAATATACTGATTCCATAAAGCGATTTAAAGGATGCCTTTACTCCATACTTTGAGGGTGTATTCACTCTTTGGTTTTAATAGAGTCAGAACATAATTAAGATACTTGCTCCAGACGAGGAATGCTAGAGGATGTAAGTGGGGTAGAAGAAGTATAGCATGTTATACTACGGGTGTCTATTTTGTTTTGGTTGTCTATAATTCTGTGCATGATAGATCAATAGCACATGAATAGCTTTAATATTGAGGGAAGTTGCTGATGTAGATACTTCCTTGACTTTGCCTCATGATCAGTGACAGACAGACAGATTTTACATGCTTATCAGTCAACTGCAGTATTATGTGATTTATACTCTCTAGTTTCTGTTAACTACAAGTGCTATTTGATGATCATGTGCATATATGATTCCATATCACAGGTATATAGGACAGCTTCAAGATCACAAGTTTGCAGCATTAATTTGCCATTTTCTTCAAAGCACTTGGCCAAATGTTTTTTTTATCTTTTCTTTTTCTATTTATTAATAAAAATACATTTTTTCGTTGGGTGAGCAGGTTGCATTGGTGATGGAACCTAAGGATAAGGAAGCAAGCTCTATGTACAAGCAAGCTCTGGAGCTACTTACGCAGGCTTTGGAGGTCTGGCCGAATGCCAATGTTAAGTTAAACTATCTAGAAAAATTGCTTGGTAATATTCAGCCTTCTCAGTCAAAAGATCCTGCAACAGCTCTGGCACAGGGTCTTGATGTCATGAACAAGGTCTTAGAGAAACAACCTCGACTGTTCATCAGGAACAACATTAATCACATTTCACAAGTATGTTTTTTTATTATCTTGTTGATGAAAACTGCATGTCTAGTGTTTTAATTATATTGTTGAATATCGTTTTACAGATACTAGAGCCTTGTTTCAACAGTAAGATGTTAGATGTTGGAAAATCTCATTGCAAGTCTAATAATGAAAAACTAAATGCAAGTCTGACCTCATCTCAATGAGAAATCTCTACTACCACTGCTCGCTGCTGGCTGGCTACGTGCAAATAGCTGATGCACTAAAGCCTCAAGATCAGCAGTCTTCTGGGCTTGTGCGTTCATCTGCTCCGCTTGTGCGTTCATCTGCTCGGCTTGTGAGGCAATCTGTTCGGCTTGTGAGGCAATCTGTTCGGCTTGCATAGCTACTGTTTCCTTTAAAGCCACGACCTCAGCATCTCGCTCAGCTGACTTTGCAATAGATCTGGTAGATGAACTCCCTCGAAGGTGGATCTCATACCCTTTTAGGTAACCTGGCCTCCTTCCAAGTACCTCAATGGAGATCTCAAACTCATTCATCGGGGACGTAACTTCGGGCTAAGATTGTTCGATAGTCTTGTTGACTAATCGCTCCTGTCATTTTTAAAGATGTAAGATCCATATCATTAATGAATAGATATAAGTTTTTATTATAGATTGATTTAACAACAGTAAATTGGACATATGTACATAGGTATCTTGTGCTTTCTCGTTTACCCATACTTTCCTTTTTTTTGGGTAGTGGGTTTCCTTGTAAAATTCCGGAAAAGAGGGAGCTTGCCCATCTTTTGTTTTTTGTAGTTTAATAAATTTATCATTAAGGTTGTTAATAACTATTTAGTCTATTTAAAAAGTAAAAAATTATAAAGCAAAACTTACAATTAGTGAGATCACTGCTGCAAATGATCGGGAACCAGATATATGATTGTACAACTTTGATCGACTCACCTTCGCTTTATCAGATTTTGTCTAATAACCAATATAAAATACATTATTAAAATATATAACAACAGGATTCTAAAATTAACATGACAATTTAATAAAGTGATTTGAGATCTATACCTTCCATTCTTCAGTTTCCCACACATCGATCATCGATACCCAATCATTGGGCTCCACACGCTTCGGTGGATGGTTCTTGGGATCAGGTACTCCCTTCTCTATTAAACCAAGATAATAGGCGTGCAACTCATGCTTCCAATTTCTATATATACTCCGACACTTTTTCTTTATGGAATCTTGGATGACTAGGTCGTTCTCATAGTCCCCGACATCAAACCTTTGCTACAAGTACAGTTAAGCATGAATATACATATAAGCATGAGGTCAAATGGCTTTAAGCAAATCAATTGCATTGTCGTGCAAAAGAAGTTGACAAAAAGAGGAATATCCAGTTCCAGAAAGAGGAATAAATTAGCAGAAAGTAGGTATCCTTTGAGGCCCTAAACATGCTTCACCGACTTGTGGCCAGTAAAGGGATGCAAAGTAAATTAGTAAGAACTCATTTAAGGAATTCGATCATGTAATGGCTTCTTATGGGTGTAGTACATGTGCTGGGGTTTTATACAAGTTTTCAGGCTTCAACAGTCTGCTCTAGGCACAAAACAATAGTTGTTTCAACTCAAACAAGTATTTACAACTATAGGAGCCTGGAACTATGTGAAACGTGGTTGGTTGAAAAATGACCTGAACCTAGACTCCTGACTGAATCTCATATCAGTAATCCATCAAAAGAAAATCATAACTGGATGTCAATGTAGGCATAATCTGAAAACAAATATGATATGACAAATCTGTAAAGATGTGAATATATGCTGCACTCCTGTGTATAACTACGTTTGCGGGAAAAAACTACACACAATCATATCCTGCGAATTCATAACGACTCCAGCAATGTTTTTCCGAAAACTATCTTAATTGTGATATAAGCTCTAGAAAGTATGACAATGAAAAGAAACGAAACTTATTATTAAGATTTTCATAACTAAACATGATCAGAAGCTGATCTTTAACAGGCTGTATAAATAGTAATCCAAATTGACCAACTTTAATAATTTATCTTCATTATGCAATCTCATAAATCATAGCTGGTAATGAGCCAAAACATAAAGGCAATAGCAAGAAAGATACCTATCACAAAATTACCTTGGAACACACACAATTGCATACGATTTTGAGATTTAAATTGCCTTGACCTGTAACATAATGTAACCATCATCATACTCATCTTTTACCACAATAATCTGGTTCTACCCACAAACTCATGAACAAAAATATTTACAACCAGTCATCAATGAGATTTATATTAGCAAGGGAGGACCTCCTATAAACTATCAAGGCAAAATGCCAGGAAACTGAACCTACCTATTATGGACAGTGAATTCTTGGAGCAACTATTTAGTATCCCTACATTAAACAGAAGCAATATGAAGCAACAACGTCAAACTTTCTATTAATCTCTTGAAGAAAAACAAGAAAAGGAGAAGAATTATTAACAATTTTCTTCAAAATAATGTTTCCAGCCATGCAAATAATTTTGTTAATTCAGACTCATCGTCAACAAAGCATCCAAATTAACAAACAATTTGAGGAGCTCACTTCAGATATAATCGCTCATTCTACTTTTGGATCCAACTACATCGAGGGGAAGGAAGTGTTTACTACACAGCAAGAATCATGACCCAAATGAAACAAGAAGAAACTACAACCAGATCGAAAAGCAAAGGGGACGATTTCTAGGGTTACAACTGAAAGCAAATGAAAACTACTAATACGTCGGCGAGATTCAGTACCTTCCACGGTCCTGGGTGCGATTTTGGCAGGAGGAGGAGGAGGAGGAGGCGGTGAGATCCGACGGAGGCGGCGGTGAACTTCGACGGAGGCGGCGGTGAACTTCGACGGAGGCGGAGATCTCCGACAATGGCGTCGGTGAGCTTCGACGAAGGCGGCGAACTTTCAGAGAATTTGGGGGTGGGGTTTTGGCGATTTTGGCTCTTCGTCAAAATAAAAGGGGGGAATTATCCCTCCTTTTATTTCGGGGGGTGATTTGGGGGGTGGGGTTTTGGCGACGTGGATAAATAAAGTAGCGTCGCTAAAAATATAACTTTTAGCGACGCTAATTATAAACGTCGGGAAAAGAACACTTTTAGCGACGTTAGCCTAATACGTTGCGATAAATGCATACTATTAGCGATGCTAATTCTAAAACGTCGCTAAAAAGCTATACTTTTACCGACGCTAAGTTAAAACGTTGCTAATAATATACACTTTTAGCGACGCTAATTATAAACGTCGGGAAAAATATATTTTTTGCCGACGCTAACTAAAAGCGTCGGGAAAAACATAATTTTTGGCAACGTATTTAACCATGCGTCAGGAATAAGTGTCGGAAAAAGTACAATTTGTTGTAGTGAAAGCGAGGGATGACTCAGATTGTCAGCATGCCTTCTGCCACGCTCTCAATCACTTCCCGAAAAATGCGGAGACACCCTCTCCCGTGCCGAAGTAACTTCCCCTCTAGTCGCCAGCCGACACTTGTAAAGCGAGGAATGACTCGGACCTAAGCCCGCACTTCACCACCGCCTCCATATGCTTGGCTAGAAGTGACCTATTTATCCCCATGACGGAGATATATACAAGTAGACTCCTATCCTTGAGGGAGGCTCTCTCTCTCTCTCTCTCTCTCTCTCTCTCTCTCTCTCTCTCTCTCTCTCTCTCTCTCTAAGAAAGAAAAATAATACATAGTTCTTCACACACACACACACACAGAGGAGCTCATAGCAGACCCCCTGTAATGACATATTGCCACCTCAAGAACCACACTAGTTCCTGACTTTCCCCTTCCCCACTCAAGTTTTACTAACTTGACCGTCGGATAAACCACAGGGGAATCGGTCCCGGCCCTCTCACGGGTTTTTCTTGTCTATGCAGCGTGGACTTTAGCCCCTATTCAAGAACTAGGCATAAAGTCAAAGAAGGAAGCGACCCATTCATCAATCTCCTCTACCTCGTTACGACGAGGACTCAGGAGGGATCGATCCTGTTCCGGATAAGAACCTATCCTCTGCTAGATACGATTGACTGTTTGATCCTAACCATCAACAGTTTGGCGCCTACCGTAGAGCTACTTTACTTTTTTGAGAAGACATGCTAAGTTCTGAATAAGTGTCTGATTCTACTCACCCTGAAGAACAACATCGAAGTTGCATCATCCAAGCTAAATGAAGTCAGGAGTTGCATTGTTCAAGCTAAGGAGGATCAGCTTTGGCTAAGAGGAACCAACTGAAATAATCCTAGTGTAGGCTGTCTAAAAATTACTGCAGATAGCTGATCCCTATCAAACATCAATAATGGAAGTTACAATCTGATGACTTCCATATCAACAACTCGATGTTGAAAGTTATAATCAAATGACTTTCACATCAACAAATGAAAGCTACAATTAGAAGATTTTCACGTACATCGAGAAAGTTACAATTCGACGACCTTCACGACAACCGATGAAAGCTCTGATTCAATAGTCTTCACAATCAACAGCGAGAGTTACAATCTGACGATTCTCATATTTCAAAGGGCTAAGGCAGAGATTACAGAACAATGATCTTTGCAACGTTCTGACGGAAGAGATTACAAGTCAACAATCTTTTCAATCCAAGACGCAGAACTTATCTCTGCATCCCAGAAATGAAACACAAGTGACTACATTCCAGGGTCAAAACAACGCAACCACTATGTTTTCAGCCATTAACGCAGCACAAATGTAGTTTCCAAACACTACGTTCTCAGTCGCTGACGCAGCTCAAGTTCGACCGCTAACGCGGCTTGCAAACACTGCGTTCAAATGCAGATTTTATTCCAGAACGCAGTCTCTGCATTTGACTCATTCAAACAAACTGAACGGTTTCAAAACCATTTCCCCCATGATTTGAGGGATTTTCGCCCACATAGGAGCGGATTAAGGGGGCGGCCCCTTAATCCCCCTATAAATCTCAACAAACTTAACTGAGTTAGGGGATGGATTTTTTTAATCGGAGGGACTGATCTCTTAGAAGGGGAGGGCGTGAGGATTTTCTCTGAAGATTCGAAATCAATCTAGAGGATTTTCTCTAGAGATTCGAAATCAATCTGGTGAAGATCTTGAAGCTTTCTTTAGCAACAAAAAATCTATGGGGATTTGCTACTTGACTTTAAAAACAATTTTTGGTTCA